TATACATATTTAATAGGTAAAATATTTTCATTAGTATCTATATATGTGCAATTTTGAAACATTAATGTAAAAAACATCCGAATATTATATAGCAGTCAAGATATTAAAATTAAAAATAATATGCTATAGAGAAAATAAAAACTGAACTGTTAAGAAACATAAATTAGTATCATGGTTATAAGATAGTTATAAGATAATGAGAGAGTAGAACAATGAACCTTTATGAGTAAAAATAGAACTGATGACCATTTAAAACTATGTAATTTGAATTGTTTTATTAATATAAAACTACTTTATTACTAATTTCATCATTAAGAATTGTTCTATTTGTCAAGTAATAAAAAAAATTTATTCAATATCATAAACTAATTATTCTAAAAACTAACATTTTTTTATGAAACAAATTCAATAATCAGATAAAATACATAAATAGTAACAACATATATTTTATTATCGTATTATTTTACAAACAATATATTATCGTAATTACAAACAATATATCCTAATATTATTATTTCAATAATATTAATTAATATTAATTTTCTTTCTCCATTTATTTTTTATTGTTTTTCCTTTCTTTATTAGAATATATTTTAAATTAAATAGCTAATTAAATTAAATATTCATATATCATTTAATTTAATTTATTTGGTAGTTATTCAAGATTAGTGGTTATCAACTTATTTTACTTCATATACATTTTCTAGCATACATGTTTCAGAATTTCTAGAAAAAAGAAAAAAAATAATAAAAACAACAAGGAAAAGCCTCTTATTTTAGGATATTGGTATTTTATGTTAATATTTATTTTTTTAAATAAAAATTCAATAGTATATTATAGAGGATGTATCAGTTCGAATAGTACAATGTGTGAATTTTTTTAATGAAAAAATAAATCAGAAGTGTAGAGCAACGATTTTTTATTCGAAGCTTTGTTTACGATAAATTTCAATTTATACAAATTTTATATTTATAACTATATATTTATAATTATATATAATTTTATATTATAATTATATTTTATATTTAAAATTATATTTTATATTTATAATTATATAATTTTATATTTATATAAATTTAAATTTATACGCGTGCATTTACCATACTTTCGTCTTTTATATGCAAAAAGTTGTACATCACTGGTTTAGTAGGTCACACTATACATTTACGTTTTGACAATGTTGTGATCGATATTGTTTAATGCGGTACTCACGTATATATTATTGCGATAATTTCAACGATACTAATAGATAAGACGCAGTCAGTAAGCAAGAAACTTTCAATTTAGGTATAACATTGTAATGTTATGTGATTGTAAATTCAAGAGTAAATCAATGTAATATTATTTATAGTTTGATCTACTAGGTCAAAAGCGTTGTAAAAGCACGCGTAGATGACGAACTTTCAGAACTAAATTTTTCATAAACGAAATTTCAGATGGAAAATCGTTATTCTATATTTTTGATTTATTTTTTCATAAGGTATCGCCCACTCATGCCCAGTTGTACAATATTATCCTTGTATTACCCGAATCGATACACCCTATTAATTTAAATACTTAAAGCTATTTAATACCAAGTCATAATGAGAAATCAGTGATTGTTTGTTCTTTTATTTATATTCGTATTCTAATCAAATGCTTCGTATTCTAATCAATATAATATACAATGAAGACAGAAATTGCAGAATTTTAAAAAAGCTTCGGTAACTAAGTTTCACGTAAATTTCAGACCGCGGAAATTGAGATTTATAAGCCCGAATATTCTATCTTTTATTCATTCGTGCCATGCTCAAGCACTTTGTAACGATCAACGACAAACGAGGCGAGGAAGAGAATATGGGTCGTGGTTAAATCTTGCGAATAATTCAATGAAAACTGAAGTCGCTACTTTCGGGGAACTGGATGCATATCTGCAATACAAGTGCATTGTCTTCGTTTTTCTCGAGATGTTTATATCTCCGACTAAAAGCATGATCTTATTTTATCCTTATTTTCAACATGTTTATTTATATCTGTGACGCAGAGTAGTTGATAAAATTGTTTACTTAACGCATGTGCAGACGCGTAGGCAGTAGGCATATAAATATTGAATGCAAGCATCTAGAATTCTTACATATTTTTACATATCTTACACCTACAATTTAGACGATGCGATGTTTTTTTGGCTGATTTAATAATTTTGTTAGAAGCAACCTTCACTTTGCTATATTTTTGGGCAGTTGGCTTTCTTTTTATTACGATGGCAATACAATGAAAAACGTAATCATGTTCATTTTTACCGGGTTGCAAATAGCAGAACAGATAAATAAACTAAGAACATGGATGATAGTTGGCAAAATTACCGGATCGATTAAAAGATCGTATAATTTGAACTGTTCATACATATGAAGTGCAAAAATAAATAAGACCAGGAATGGATAACATGTTTAATACGATATTATATTTATCTTTTTATTATTACATTGAGATACAAAAATAGATAAGCGCTTCTAAAAACTGATAATAAAATTCAGTATTGTTAGTATTTATATTGATTAGATTATGACTGTTTCTATGACTATTTAATTTTTGACTAACATCAATATTCAATATTCTAATAGATATTTTATTCAATTATTTTTTTAATATACAAGACATTTCTATGACTGTCTAATTTTTGATCAATTCAAAATTGAGTAGAGACCTTAAGAGTTTTGTCATTCCAATCACATATTTTGTCATCTCCCTTAAGAAAAAATGTTTAGAATGTTTTAAAAATCCTGATGTTAAACTTAGACTTCAACATGTATGATTATAAATCCTAAATAATAAATAGTATTGAAGTAATAATGAAAATTCACAAGTTATTGGAAAATAATCATAAAGTATGTATATAGAGAGAGGAAGGGGGACAATAAAAAAAAAAATTATTGAAATATAATAATTCTTCAAATATTTTAAAGTATGTTATATCAGGTTTACGATATTGTCAACAAATATGATTTTTAATGGTTTAATTTCAATTTTTCCGTCCCGTGTGAATTTCCACGATTATCTAACTTTTAATTAAAAGCAATATCTCGAAGTACAAAGGAAGAACATACCAAATCTAGTTGCCCAGAATTCTGCCGCGTCTTCTATGTACAAAAAAAAAAAAAAAAAGAATGACATATATTCCTTTATGGACTATGTCAACTATAAAAAAAAA